CTACAGAGCAACGCTGACCATGCCGGACGGTTCTGGGGTGCCCTCACTACAGAGCTACGCTGTGACCCGAACGGTTCTGGGGTCCCCGCACACTACAGAGCAACGCTGACCATGCCGGACGGTTCTGGGGTCCCCTCACTACAGAGCAACGCTGACGCTGACCATGCCGGACGGTTCTGGGGTCCCCTCGCTACAGAGCTACGCTGACCATGCCGAACGGTTCTGGGGTCCCCGCACTACAGAGCAACGCTGACCATGCCGGACGGTTCTGGGGTCCCCTCGCTACAGAGCTACGCTGACCATGCCGGACAGTTCTGAGGTCCCCGCGCTACAGAGCTACGCTGACTATGCCGGACAGTTGTGGGGGGTCCCAACATAGACCTGGGGTGTTATAGAGCAATGCTGGACTATGCAGGTCACACCTGGGGTCCCCACACCTTCCACCGTCCTCCACCCTTCCCTCCATCCATCACCGACCTTCCAGTCCTCCACTCTTCCCTCCATCACCGGACCTTCCACCTTCCTTCTTCCCACTCTTCCCTCCATCACCGGACCTTCCAGTCCTCCACTCTCCCTCCATCACCCCTTCCAGTCCTCCACTTTCCCTCCATCACAAGGACCTTCCAGTCCTCCACTCTTCCCTCCACTCTTCCCTCCATCCACACCGGACCTTCCAGTCCTCCACTCTCTTCCTCCATCACCGGACCTTCCAGTCCTCCACTCTTCCCTCCATAACAGGACCTTCCAGTCCTCCACTCTTCCCTCCATCACCGACCTTCCAGTCCTCCACTCTTCCCTCCATCACAACCTTCCAGTCCTCCACTCTTCCCTCCATCACAGGACCTTCCAGTCCTCCACTCTTCCCTCCATCACAAGACCTTCCAGTCCTCCCACTCTTCCCCATCACAGGACCTTCCAGTCCTCCACTCTTCCCCCATCACAGACCTTCCAGTCCTCCACTCTTCCCTCCATCACAAGGACCTTCCAGTCCTCCACTCTTCCCTCCATCACAAGACCTTCCAGTCCTCCACTCTTCCCTCCATCACCGACCTTCCAGTCCTCCACTCTTCCCTCCATCACAAGACCTTCCAGTCCTCCACTCTTCCCTCCATCACAAGACCTTCCAGTCCTCCACTCTTCCCTCCATCACCGGACCTTCCAGTCCTCCACTCTTCCCTCCATCACCGGACCTTCCAGTCCTCCACTCTTCCCTCCATCACCGACCTTCCAGTCCTCCACTCTTCCCCCCCCCCCCACCCCTTCCAGTCCTCCACTCTTCCCTCCATCCACCGACCTTCCAGTCCTCCACTCTTCCCTCCATCTCCTCCTCATCACCGGACCTTCCAGTCCTCCACTCTTCCCTCCATCACCGAACCTTCCACAGTCCTCCACTCTTCCCTCCATCACATCACCCCGGACCTTCCATCACCGGACCTCCACCTCCACTCTTCCCTCCATCACCAGACCTTCCAGTCCTCCACTCTTCCCTCCATCACAGGACCTTCCAGTCCTCCACTCTTCCCTCCATCACTGGACCTTCCACAGTCCTCCACTCTTCCCTCCATCACCGGACCTTCCACAGTCCTCCACTCTTCCCTCCATCACCGGACCTTCCAGTCCTCCACTCTTCCCTCCATCACAGGACCTTCCACAGTCCTCCACCCTTCCCTCCATCACCAGACCCTTCCACAGTCCTCACACCTTCCCTCCATCACCGACCTTCCACAGTCCTCCACTCTTTCCTCCATCACAGGACCTTCCACAGTCCTCCACTCTTCCCTCCATCACTGGACCTTCCACAGTCCTCCACTCTTCCCTCCACCAGAGACCTTCCACAGTCCTCCACCCTTCCCTCCATCACTCAACCTTCCACAGTCCTCCACTCCTTCCTCCATCACCGGACCTTCCACAGTCCTCCACCCTTTCCCTCCATCACTGGACCTTCCACAGTCCTCACACCCTTCCCTCCATCACCGGACCTTCCACAGTCCTCCACCCTTCCCTCCATCACCGGACCTTTCCACAGTCCTCCACTCTTCCCTCCATCACTGGAACCTTCCACAGTCCTCCACCCTTCCCTCCCAACGGAACTTCACAGTCCTCCACCCTCACCTCTCACACCTTCCACAGTCCTCCACCCTTCCCTCGTCACCGGAACCTTCCACAGTCCTCCACCCTTCCCTCCATCACCGAACCTTCCACAGTCCTCCACCCTTTCCCTCCATCACCGGACCTTCCACAGTCCTCCACCCTTCCCTCCATCACTCCATCACGAACCTTCCACAGTCCTCCACTTTCCCTCCATCACCGAACCTTCCACAGTCCTCCACTCTTCCCTCCATCACTCCATCACTTACCTTCCACAGTCCTCCACCCTTCCCTCCATCACCGAACCTTCCACAGTCCTCCACCTTCCCTCCATCACCGAACCTTCCACAGTCCTCCACCCTTCCCTCCATCACCGTACCTTCCACAGTCCTCCACCCTTCCCTCCATCACCGACCTTCCACAGTCCCTCCACTCTTCCCTCCATCACCGACCTTCCACAGTCCTCCAACCCTTCCCTCCATCACCGAACCTTCCACAGTCCTCCACCCTTCCCTCCATCACCGAACCTTCCACAGTCCTCCACTCTTCCCTCCATCACCGAACCTTCCACAGTCCTCCACTCTTCCCTCCATCACCGATAACCTTCCACAGTCCTCCACTTCCCTCCATCCATTCACTGTCCTCCGTACCTTCCACAGTCCTCCACCCTTCCCTCCATCACCGAACCTTCCACAGTCCTCCACTCTTCCCTCCATCACGGTTACCTTCCACAGTCCTCCACTCTTCCCTCCATCACCGACCTTCCACAGTCCTCCACCCTTCCCTCCATCACAGTACCTTCCACAGTCCTCCACTCTTCCCTCCATCACCGAACCTTCCACAGTCCTCCACTCTTCCCTCCATCACTGAACCTTCCACAGTCCTCCACCCTTCCCTCCATCACAGTACCTTCCACTGTCCTCCCACTCTTCCCTCCATCACAGTACCTTCCACAGTCCTCCACTCTTCCCTCCATCACTTGACCTTCCACAGTCCTCCACCCTTCCCTCCATCACAGTACCTTCCACAGTCCTCCACTCTTCCCTCCATCACCAGACCTTCCACAGTCCTCCACCCTTCCCTCCATCACAGTACCTTCCAGTCCTCCACTCTTCCCTCCATCATTGAACCTGCCAAAATCCTCCAATAACATCTACTCTTCCTTCCAGACCAATGGGCCTCCACAGTGCTCTGCTCTTCCTTGGCCAGTCTCTGACTGCAGCCACTGGGAGAAGATCGGTTCTCATCTTCCGGCTGCATTTTTTGGACTTTCCAAGAGTTTAAACAATAAACAAATATTGAATTTCAGCTCTTTTACGTGTTCCAAGCTGTCTGGGAAATACCTTACCCTCTCCACCGAAGGAAGACCTCCAGGTCAGTGCATGATGGGTCCCTTTTCTTATTCAGGACCTGTTGACAGCCCCAATTTGCCACCAGTTCTCACCAAGCTGGCCAGGGGCACCTCCCTCTCTACCTCCTTACAAGACTTGGGTAAGACATGTACATACCTGGACCCAAAAGTCATTCCACCATCTTGGCAGCTTCCAATGCCCAGTCCTGAGGCCCACCCTAGGATCTCTGTAATGTCCACACGGCAGGCCATTCCACAACACAGCCCATTGCTGAGCTCCTTTCCTGCTTCTACACAAGAACCAGGAACTTCACATTGCCGTCCCATGTCACCGGGCTTCTCCGACAGCAATACTCCAATTATGTTTCCTCCTATTATAAGCACCCCAAGGCCTCCTCTGAGGGGCTTCATCTCAACTGCTCCTTAGCCTACATAATGACCAATTGAGAGCTGTAATTTCCCACACATTTCTCAGACTCCACCCTTGGAAGGCATTATATTTATATATACACTATATTGCCCAAAGTATTGGCCCCCCCTCCAAATCATGTGATTCAGGTGTTCCAATCCCCTCCATATCATGTGATTCAGGTGTTCCAATCCCCTCCATATCATGTGATTCAGGTGTTTCAATCCCCTCCATATCATGTGATTCAGGTGTTCCAATCCCCTCCATATCATGTGATTCGGTGTTCCAATCCCCTCCATATCATGTGATTCAGGGTGTTCCAATCCCCTCCAAATCATGTGATTAGGGTGTTTCAATCCCCTCCATATCATGTGATTCGGGTGTTCCAATCCCCTCCATATCATGTGATTCGGGTGTTTCAATCCCCTCCATATCATGTGATTCGGGTGTTTCAATCCCCTCCATATCATGTGATTCGGGTGTTCCAATCCCTCCATATCATGTGATTCGGGTGTTTCAATCCCCTCCATATCATGTGATTCGGGTGTTTCAATCCCTCCATATCATGTGATTCGGGTGTTCCAATCCCCTCCACATCATGTGATTCGGGTTCCAATCCCCTCCAAATCATGTGATTAGGGTGTTCCAATCCACTCCCCAAATCATGTGATTCAGGTGTTCCAATCCACTCCAAATCATGTGATTCAGGTGTTCCAATCCCCTCCCAATCATGTGATTCAGGTGTTCCAATCCCCTCCATATCATGGGATTCAGGTGTTCCAATCCCCTCCATATCATGTGATTCAGGTGTTCCAATCCCCTCCATATCATGCGATTCAGGTGTTCCAATCCCTCCAATCATGCGATTCAGGTGTTCCAATCCCCTCTCCATATCATGTGATTCAGGTGTTCCAATCCCCTCCATATCATGTGATTCAGGTGTTCCAATCCCCTCCATATCATGTGATTCAGGTGTTCCAATTCCATCCATATTATGTGATTCAGGTGTTCCAATCCCCTCCCAATCATTTGATTCAGGTGTTCCAATCCCCTCCCAATCATGTGATTCAGGTGTTTCAATCCCCTCCATATCATGTGATTCAGGTGTTCCAATCCCCTCCATATCATGTGATTCGGGTGTTTCAATCCCCTCCATATCATGTGATTCGGGTGTTTCAATCCCCTCCATATCATGTGATTCGGGTGTTCCAATCCCCTCCATATCATGTGATTAGGGTGTTCCAATCCCCTCCAAATCATGTGATTAGGGTGTTCCAATCCACTCCAAATCATGTGATTAGGGTGTTCCAATCCACTCCAAATCATGTGATTCAGGTGTTCCAATCCCCTCCCAATCATGTGATTCAGGTGTTCCAATCCCCTCCATATCATGGGATTCAGGTGTTCCAATCCCCTCCATATCATGTGATTCAGGTGTTCCAATCCCCTCCATATCATGCGATTCAGGTGTTCCAATCCCTTCCCAATCATGCGATTCAGGTGTTCCAATCCCCTCCATATCATGTGATTAAGGTGTTCCAATCCCCTCCATATCATGTGATTCAGGTGTTCCAATCCCCTCCATATCATGTGATTCAGGTGTTCCAATTCCATCCATATTATGTGATTCAGGTGTTTCCAATCCCCTCCCAATCATGTGATTCAGGTGTTCCAATTCCATCCATATTATGTGATTCAGGTGTTCCAATCCCCTCCCAATCATTTGATTCAGGTGTTCCAATCCCCTCCATATCATGTGATTCAGGTGTTCCAATCCCCTCCATATCATGTGATTTAGGTGTTCCAATCCCCTCCATATCATGTGATTCAGTGTTCCAATCCCCTCCATATCATGTGATTCAGGTGTTCCAATCCCCTCCATATATGTGATTCAGGTGTTTCAATCCCCTCCATATCATGTGATTCGGGTGTTCCAATCCCCTCCATATCATGTGATTCGGGTGTTTCCAATCCCCTCCATATCATGTGATTCGGGTGTTTCAATCCCCTCCATATCATGTAATTCGGGTGTTCCAATCCCCTCCATATCATGTGATTAGGGTGTTCCAATCCCCTCCAATCATGTGATTCAGGGTGTTCCAATCCCCTCCCAATCATGTGATTAGGTGTTCCAATCCCCTCCCAATCATGTGATTCAGGTGTTCCAATCCCCTCCAATCATGTGATTCAGGTGTTCCAATCCCCTCCATATCATGGGATTCAGGTGTTCCAATCCCCTCCATATCATGGGATTCAGGTGTTCCAATCCCCTCCATATCATGGGATTCAGGTGTTCCAATCCCTTCCCAATCATGCGATTCAGGTGTTCCAATTCCATCCCAATCATGTGATTCAGGTGTTCCAATCCCCTCCCAATCATGTGATTCAGGTGTTCCAATTCCATCCATATTATGTGATTCAGGTGTTCCAATCCCCTCCCAATCATTTGATTCAGGTGTTCCAATCACCTCCATATCATGTGATTCAGGTGTTCCAATCCCCTCCATATCATGTGATTTAGGTGTTCCAATCCCCTCCATATCATGTGATTCAGTGTTCCAATCCCCTCCATATCATGTGATTCAGGTGTTCAATCCCCTCCATATTATGTGATTCAGGTGTTCCAATCCCCTCCATATCATGTGATTCAGGTGTTCCAATCCCCTCCCAATCATGTGATTCAGGTGTTCCAATCCCCTCCCTATCATGTGATTCAGGTGTTCCCCTCCCCTCCCATATCGTGATTCAGGTGCTCCAATCCCCTCCATATCATGTGATTCAGGTGTTCCAATCCCCTCCATATCATGTGATTCAGGTGTCCCAATCCCCTCCATGGACACAGGTGTACACAATCAAGCCCCTAGGCATGCAGGCGGCTTCTACAAACATTGGTGAAAGAATGGGTTGCTCTCAGGAGCTCAGTGACTCCAAGCGTGGTCCCGTGATAGGTGGTCACCTGGGCAATAAGTCCATCCGGGACATTTCCTGGGTACTAAATATTCCACGCTCAACTGTTAGTGGGATTATAACAAAGTGGAAGCCACTGGGAACAACAGCCACTCAGCCACCAAGTGGTAGGCCACGTCACATGACAGGGCGGGGTCAGCGCATGCTGAAGCGCACAGTGTGAAGAAGTTGCCAACTGTCTGCTGTTAATAGCTAAAGACCTCCAAACTTGGTGTGGCCCTCAGATGAGCCCAACAACAGTGCGTAGAGAGCTTCATGGAATGGGTTTCCATGGCCGAGCAGCTGCATCCAAGCCTTCCATCACCAAGTGCAATGCAAAGCGTCGGATGCCGTGGTGTAAAGCACGCCGCCACTGGACTCTAGAGCAGAGGAGACGTGTTCTCTGGAGTGGACCAATCATGTTTCTCTGTCTGGCAATCCAATGGACGTGTCTGGGTTTGGCGGTGGCCAGGAGAACGGTACTTGCCTGACTGCATTGTGCCAAGTGTAAAGTTTGGTGGAGGGGGATCATGGTGTGGAGGTGTTTTCTTCAGGGGTTGGCTTGGCCCCCTAGTTCCAGTGAAGGGAGCTTTTAAGGCCACATTTTGGACCATTTCATGCTCCCAACTTTGTGGGAGGAGTTTGGGGATGGCCCCTTCCTGTTCCAACATGACTGCCCACCAGTGCACAAAGCAAGGTCCATAAAGACATGGAGGAGCCAGTTTGGGGTGGAGGAGCTTGACTGTCCTGCACAGAGTCCTGACCTCAACCCCATAGAACACCTTTGGGATGAATTAGAGCGGAGACTGCGAGCCAGGCCTCCTCCCCCGACATCAGTGCCTGACCTGACAAATGTGCTTCTGGAAGAATGGTCCAACCTTCCCATAGACACCCTCCTAAACCTTGTGGATGGCCTTCCCAGAAGAGTTGAAGCTGTTATAGCTGCAAAGGGCGGGGCCAAATGGAGAAACAGAAAAAGGGCGCACCGACCTAGTGCATTATCGTTTAAAATAATTTATTGAAGAAACAAAATAGGTATCATACTCACAATGGACATAATAACACAGGCATGTCAAACTGAACAAGATGTATGATCCAAACAACATCTGAGTCCATACGATGGAACCCTGGATGACCAACTGGCTAACGCGTTTCGAGGACACAACCTCTTCCTCTGCCATTAAAGGTCATGTGTGTGGAAAAGGGCGGGGCCAACTCAGTATTGAACCCTACGGACTAAGACTGGGAGGCCATTAAAGGTCACGTGTGTGGAAAGGGCGGGGCCAACTCAGTATTGAAGCCTACGGACTAAGACTGGGGGGCCATTAAAGATCATGCGTGTGGAAAGGGCGGGGCCAACTCAATATTGAACCCTACGGACTAAGACTGGGAGGCCATTAAAGATCATGCGTGTGGAAAGGGCGGGGCCAACTCAATATTGAACCCTACGGACTAAGACTGGGAGGCCATTAAAGGTCATGTGCGTGGGAAGGCCGGGGGCCCAATACTTGGGGGAATATAGTGTATATATATATATAATAGGGTGACCAACCTCCATGATACACCCCTAGACTGGACTTAACCACGCAGGGCTTACCCTCTGCCTACAGCCTGTGATGCCTGATTTCCATACTTATATTGACTAGCTCCCTCCCTAAGCCCCACTCTTGGGTTGATGGCCAGTCCTGACCACTTAGGACCAGGGCAAGGCCAGGGCCATCCTCTTGGCCAGAAAACATTGTTCTTACTTGCATGGCAGTGCACCCAGGAAACTGAAATTCTGATATCTGATGGTTCCCCCGTATTTAGGAAATAGTTAATATTTCATTCTAGTTATATTTAGTTGAAGTCTATATGTTGTGTGTCGGAATACGGTGCAGAGCTGGTCAGTCAGGATAGAACACCACCTACATGTCTGTTTCTCCTACTAATGACTCAACTTTCCGGGAGGGAGGAGAAGAGGAAGTCCCTGAAGAGGTTGGGCGCAGTGACTTCTCTATCTTGGGTAGTTAGGGAGTTGGGATTTGACCTACTGCTCTCCCTCCAGTAGTTATAGACTTGGACTTGAGTGTTGGAGATATTCCATCCCAGATATGAAGGCGTTTTTCATCTTTCACCACCATGGAAGAGAGACATTCTATAATATCGATCTTTTGTTGGGCAATACAAAATGTTGGACTCCATAGTTTATATGATGAGGTATCTCTGCCCATTGTGCACTTCTCCTATATCTAGCCTTTCATGTGGAAGGTCTCTGGTCTAGGTGGAAAGCCTACCCCCTTTGGCTGGATATGACGGGGTCTGAAGACTACATCCCCAGATCCGCTATTGTTCTCAGAAGCCCATAAAGACCCAACCACCCATAATACCCTTTGGGATGACTTGGCGGCATTTCCTCATGGTCTGCTTTAATCTTCCATTATCATTATTAACAAATAAAATCCTCTTTTCAGGTCGATGAGAAGCCATCCAAGGACGGTGATGATGCTGAATCTCACAGACAAAAAAGCTGGATCATATGACAGGACGTTTCCACCAAATCATCTCAGAACCCCCCCAGAAGAGGCACTTCGATGATTTATTCAGTCTCCAAGTCCGTCTTTCTCCCGTAGTGGGAACGCTCTATAAAAGGAGGCGATGGTCAGACGGAGGAGAACATGGCTGGAAGCGTGTTCACCTGATGCTCTCACACATGGACCAGCTTAGGGATAATGTATCTCTTTCTCTTTTACAAGAAGATCTATCAGAGTTATTTGTAGCGGGATTTTATAGCGTGTAACTGAATCCCATCTTCCCCTAATCAGTCCCAGCTTCTCCTGCTCTTTATAGCTATGACCATGAAGAGTGCACAATAAATGTATCTAATAGAACCTGCTGGGAGAATGGGGGGGGGGACCCCAGGCCGACCCCATGACGATCGCTCCGTATTCGACGTGACCGGAGCTGCTTTCAATCGGCACTGGGTTTATTATAATGCTTTATTAAAGGAATGTTTGAGCGGACGGGAACCATAAAAGACATTGTATCCAGAGAAGACTAAAAGCCAGGATGAGCTGAGAGAAATGGAAGGGAAATAATGGACCGAGATGGGAAGGAAATAGACGACACACATGTTTCTGGTGAGGTTGGTGAAGGACACAGCCAATATGATGGGAAAATCTCATCTGCTGGGGTCACCTACCTTCAAGAGGTCCCAGAGAATATCTTTTCTCACAATCCAAAGGGGGCCCACACTGACAGATCTCCATCTACTATAAATGTTGTCACAAAACAAAGCCTACCTTCTGTGCATCAAACGTGGCCATTGTGGGCTCCTCCATGGCATTGAATCACATTGTCTTCACTGGAAAGGAGATGGACCTGCCAAGACCACCTTCTGTGCATCAAACGTGGCCATTGTGGGCTCCTCCATGGCATTGAATCACATTGTCTTCACTGGAAAGGAGATGGACCCCACCAAGTCCACCTTCTGTGCATCAAACGTGGCCATTGTGGGCTCCTCCATGGCATTGAATCACATTGTCTTCACTGGAAAGGAGATGGACCCACCAAGTCCACCTTCTGTGCATCAAACGTGGCCATTGTGGGCTCCTCCATGGCATTGAATCACATTGTCTTCACTGGAAAGGAGATGGACCTGCCAAGACCACCTTTCTGTGTGCATCAAACGTGGCCATTGTGGGCTCCTCCATGGCATTGAATCACATTGTCTTCACTGGAAAGGAGATGGACCCGCCAAGTCCACCTTCTGTGCATCAAACGTGGCCATTGTGGGCTCCTCCATGGCATTGAATCACATTGTCTTCACTGGAAAGGAGATGGACCCGCCAAGACCACCTTCTGTGCATCAAACGTGGCCATTGTGGGCTCCTCCATGGCACTGAATCACATTGTCTTCACTGGAAAGGAGATGGGACCCGCCAAGACCACCTTCTGTGCATCAAACGTGGCCATTGTGGGCTCCTCCATGGCATTGAATCACATTGTCTTCACTGGAAAGGAGATGGACCCGCCAAGACCACCTTCTGTGCATCAAAAACGTGGCCATTGTGGGCTCCTCCATGGCACTGAATCACATTGTCTTCACTGGAAAGGAGATGGACCTGCCCAAGACCACCTTCTGTGCATCAAACGTGGCCATTGTGGGCTCCTCCATGGCACTGAATCACTTGTCTTCACTGGAAAGGAATGATGGACCCGCCAAGACCACCTTCTGTGCATCAAAAGTGGCCATTGTGGGCTCCTCCATGGCATTGAATCACATTGTCTTCACTGGAAAGGAGATGGACATGCCAAGACCACCTTCTGTGCATCAAAAGTGGCCATTGTGGGCTCCTCCATGGCATTGAATCACATTGTCTTCACTGGAAAGGAGAGATGGACCCGCCAAGACCACCTTCTGTGCATCAAACGTGGCCATTGTGGGCTCCTCCCATGGCACTGAATCACATTGTCTTCACTGGAAAGGAGATGGACCCGCCAAGACCACCTTTCTGTGCATCAAACGGTGGCCATTGTGGGCTCCTCCATGGCATTGAATCACATTGTCTTTCACTGGAAAGGAGATGGACCCGCCAAGAGACCACCTTCTGTGCATCAAACGTGGCCATTGTGGGCTCCTCCATGGCACTGAATCACATTGTCTTCACTGGAAAGGAGATGGACCTGCCAAGACCACCTTCTGTGCATCAAACGTGGCCATTGTGGGCTCCTCCATGGCACTGAATCACTTGTCTTCACTGGAAAGGAGATGGACCCGCCAAGACCACCTTCTGTGCATCAAAAGTGGCCATTGTGGGCTCCTCCATGGCATTGAATCACATTGTCTTCACTGGAAAGGAGATGGACCCGCCAAGACCACCTTCTGTGCATCAAACGTGGCCATTGTGGGCTCCTCCATGGCACTGA